ATCTGTAATGGTTCTTTATTATTTTATTCTCTTGCATCCCTTCTTATCCTTATTCTATCATAAAAACCATTCATATCATTATAATCATACTTATTAAAACAAATACTTTTTAAAATATATATTCAAATAGAGTTAGTGAGTTTACTGTTTGTTTCAAGTTAACTTATAAATTTTATTTCACTATAGCAATATTTACTGCATTATCCCAAATTACTCAATATTTTTTTCTGATCAAAAAAATGAAATTAGCTTTTTCCCTACAAATGATTAACACTTTTCAATCATCCAATCAGATTTTACTTAAAAATCAAAACAAAAACTAAATCTGTTAAAACTGGTTTTGTATTATAACAACAATCACAACAATCACATCAATTATATATCCACTAACAATTATAATAACAAACAATTTTACATATATTTTATTATTTATAATAACCAAAAAGCTGGAGAGATGGGACCACAAGCCTGTCTGGAGACTTTCTTGAGGAAATAATTGATTTTCTACTTATAGATTTTATAGTTTATTTGATGCAGTTTTAGTTACAGTTACATTTCTTTTCTTTTCAACTATTTTATATTCAAAAAATTAAAAGATTTTACAAATTTTCTTGAGTTAGTAGACATAGCTGCTACTCAGTTTTATCTAGCACTATAATATTGCTTTTGAAATGTCTTACAATATTAATTAGGTAATGATTAAATAGGAAAGTTAGTATTAAACTTTCTTGAAATAATAAAAGAGATGTTGTTTTTTTCATTATGTATACTTTATTATATATAATATCAAATAAAGAAATGATGTTTACCTACAAGAAAAACCCCTCAAAAAATAACTTATTAGATATATAAAAGTTATATTCTGTTAACAATTTTGTTATTATATTTAATGATTTAAACTAATTGAATCCTTTGAAGTATTTATTAGTAGATTTTTAAATCATATTTTATTTGATCTTTAAAATCTTTAAATTTGATAATTTATATTAACTAAAAATTGTAATTTCAAAGCAAGTACATATCAATATTAACTTTTTCTGTATTTATAACTATATAAATCAAAATTGTAATACAAAAAGCTATTTATTAATTATTAATATATACAAAAAGACTTTTCTAAATATACTTTCTATAAATGCATTTATTATATTTTCTTTTTATAAATGCATGATCAAGCTTAATTCCAAGTATATAAAATTTTTAATAAAATTATTTCTATAAATATACATTTTTCAAAAACTTTTTTATAACTTCAAGAGATGTGCATTTAGAGAGGGTTCACTGTATTAAGTCTTTTTTTTTTTTCTTTTTCTATCTATTTTCTTACAATTTGCATAACCTGTTGTACAACTATTTAGACAAAATATTGGTTTAAAAAAAATTTTTTTTAAATAGTTTAGATAGGTAGTTTGGTAAATTATCATTTAACTTATGTAATTTGAGAGATGTAGATTCTTGTTAAATGTATATCTTTTATATACCATATAAAGAACTGAAATTTACCAAAAAAAAAAAAAATTTTTTTATATGGAAATTCATATATTGATACTATATAAACTTGAATTTATAACTTAAAATTATAATTTTTATTAAAATAAATATCGGATAAATAAACTCAACTAAATAAAAATTTTTATATTTAAAATAAAATATTAAATAATCTTGATTGTATAATACACGAATCCCATTAATTCTTTCAACAATTTATGCCACCAAAAATTTTATTAATATTCTCGTGTACATTATTGTGTTGACTCCACGTTTATATGTTTTGAATCCCATATAAACTTTATAAAACATACATATACCACCCAATATATAAAAAAAAATCATTTAAAATTATTTTTCATTTCCCTTAAAGTGCCCATGACTCTTACAGGATCTTCTTCTCCAGTGGCTTTTCTCACACTATGTACATTAACCCTCATGAACGGATTGAATTCAAATTCATCACCGATTGTGCTCGGTACGGTTTGTGTATGCTGTGATACCCATTCAAACTTTTCTTTAAGTGCCAGATTCTCAGGCTCTATTGATAATGCAAATTTGAGATTACTCGCAGTATATTCGTGACCACAATAGACCTTGGTGTCCTTTGGTAGAGAACCGAGGACGTTGATCAAAGAGTTGTGCATTTGTGCGGCAGTACCCTCAAAAAATCTACCGCAACCACCAATAAATAACGTATCACCTTTCATTTCAACACGATAAGGGAAAAGCGCGGAATGAGAAGATACTTAAACAAGACAAAAGAACTTTTGATAACTTAAAAAAACAATACCGGTGAACACGGCTTTATCATCTTTATCATTAAAATAGAAACTAACGCTTCCTGTGGTGTGGCAAATAGTGAAAAGCGCTTTCACAGAGATGTTTCCAATTTTAAATTCTTCACCATCTTTTACAGTATAATTTAACGCTGGTATACGGTTATCACCACCATAAACTGTTAAACCTGGATGTTGGGAAACGAGTTTTTCATTTCCTCCAGAATGATCCTGAAAATGAATTAAATTAAATATTGATTAAATGGAATACTGAAAAAACAAATAATAAATGTAACTTTATTCAAATCAGTTATTGAAAATATGAATGAAGAAATACAGAATGATGATGTGTGGTGATTAAATGTTTCAAGTTCACACCATGCTGTTTGACTATTGGAAGAACTTTCTCGGGTTCAACGGGATCGACCACGGCAGCTATATTGGATTATCCGAACAAAAACAATCATCAAGGAATTATTCATTAGATACTTGCTAAATAGTTAAGAAAGAATACCTTCATTTGTGCTCTCGTCAATAACAAGGTACGAATAGTTATCTGTTAAAACTGTGTAACTCGTTACATATTAACGCTCCACATCCATGCAAAATATCTATTTTAGATTATCAAAGAATGAAACAAACCTGGAATGGGAATAACTTTCATGGCATTCGATGAGTTCTAAATAGTAAAGAATAAGGGATAGAAAATTGTTATGCAATAGAAGTATGAATTATCATATGTGAAATTACCCTGAAGAATTTTCTTTTTTGGTCCGAAGATTTCCAAAATTGTGAACGAAGAGTTTGTCGAAAAAAATGTCGTTGCATTTATACTAAGATTGATATGATCATGTTATACGTATAAGTACTGTAAAGCATAAAATTTCTAGAAACTACTCTAAACTGGTTAGCCGCAATAAAAAAATTACGTACTGTATATCGTCTATTTTATAATTATGACTAATATTTGGGTTCTTTCATTGCTTAGAGTATTGTATATAAAATATATAGACTCTAAGTATGGTTTTGTTGTGAAAGAATTCATTTTATTAATTTATTGGTTAGTTATACTTTTCACTATTATTAAATAATGAGTAAATTTAAATTTTTATTTAGAAAAACCTTATATTATACTTGCTTTTGTAAATTATAAATTAAATTTATTAATAAATAATATAATGTAATTATAAAATATTTTAAAACTGCTTAATTAAATGATGCAAAAAAAAATAATTATGTATTATATATATATATTTTATGTTAATATAGATGTATTCCATGATTTTTATCAATAAAGTAAATATAATTATATGTTATATAATATGATATATATTGGTTTATTATTTTGATATAAAAAAATTATAGCAAGTCAGTTGCTTCGATCTGTCTCATACTATATAATAATTGAAACAGCTTCTACTCAAAAAATGTATATCAATTTGATCAGAAATTGTAATACTGACACAGATTCATCTATTAATTTTGTATATTAAATAGTTACTTTATATATAACAATTCCGTTAACCATATAACATTAGAGTTAAGTTACAAATATAATTTTGAAAATTGAAATTGAACAGACTTGTATAAGATTTGAAACATTATTAAAAATAATAGTGAGTTAGAATTCACATATTAAATTTAATATAATTTAAAAATCAAATTAAATCAAATTATTAAAATTCTAATTATAAAGCAATAGTTTATCAAATAAAAATAATTTTTATTTTAGTTCTTTCTTTTTTTTTTTTTAATCCTACAATCAGGTTGGTGTTGTTTATTTATTAAATCATAGAGAACTATTACATGCATGAGAATACATGCAAAGTACAAATTTCCTTGATCCAACTTACCTATCTTTAGTCAAAGTCTCTAGATATGATTTATGGGAGTGATATATTGTTCTCCTAAAGGATGGGATTAAAATCCCGAACTTCTAATAGGATCAGCACCTGCAAATCACCTCCACATCATGACCCTAAATCCAAATTGTGTCACCCTCCTTTTGTAGAAACTATGCAAGAGAAAAAAGGAATAAAAAAAGGAATTTTTTGACAAAAAAAAAGAAAAAAAAGCTATTGTCTATTCTAACTATTATTGAAAAGATTATCTCAGTAAACTTAAAACCCAAGCCCCTTATGAATTTTCACTTCTCACCACCTGTGACCAGTTAAACTGTTTAATTTCCAATAGAATAGTTGATGTCCAAGAATGTTTAAGGGCACTTCTAGAAGAGTATTTTTTGAAACTTTACACTTGAAGACTTCTAATCAGAAAGGATGTTGGTTTTCTATTGTTGATTTCTCTCCCAAGTCATGTCTTCTGAAATTATAACTTTATTCAACCAGTGGATAGTTTCAAGATCTCTTTCTCTAATCATTTTTGGGATAGATATCAGTACTTCAACTTGTTACCAGATTGAAATAGGACCTAGATCTTGTTGCTACTTCTTGTCCTCAAGAAAAAATAGGAAAGAAAAAAAGAAAATAAAAGAATGGGAACAAAAAGGGGTTGCTCCTCTTCTTTTCACAACTTTAACTTGAAACTATCCAACTCTTTCAGGAACCAATTACATCATCAGTTTGGTATTGTGTGACTAGAAACATGTGAGGAGTACATGTCTTATTTACTTTTTCTGTGGCTAACATGATCAACCAATCTGTGACCTTGACCAATTATCTTTTAGAAAATCTGGTGTGACCAAAAATTCAGGGTCAAACTGAGATAGGTAAAATTCTCCAAAAAAATTAGAAAAAAGAAAACACGCTTAAGAAAAAAAAAGTGGGAAGCCAAAGAGATAATGGAAAGATTGAAGACTTTTTTATTTTTGTTTCTCTAGATTTTTGAATCTTTTGGGGATCTTTGGAGGGTATTTTTTCTTGTCAGTTTTTTTTCTATAAAGTGTTCTTGCTGTAGACCTTTTAGGTGGGTTTCTTGTATTTAGTTGCAAAAATAAACAAAAAAAGTGTTTTGAAAAAGAAAAATAAAACAAGTGGTGGCTTCTGCTCACTCAGCTGGTTAAAACCAGTATTGTTTTTAAGAAAAATATATAGACTTTATTATCATAAAGACAAAAAATCTTTTGAGAACGTTTGTTTTTTGGGTTGGCAAAAGGATCAGTAGAAAAAATTTTTATTTTATTTTTGTTCTTTCTGTTTTTTAATTATTTTTTAATTATATATTTATATTTTTATTTTATATCTATTATATAATGATCTATCATATAATAGTATTTGAAAAGAAAAGTTAGTAGAAATGTTAATTTCTTACAAAATATATTCACTTTCTTGTAGTAAGTTAAAAATTTTATTAATTATATTAAGTAAATATATTTGAACTTATTAAAGAAATTAAAAGAAATCTACAATATGAAAACAGATATGTTAATAAATAATATTTAGCAGAAGCCATAAGAGAAGATACCAATTAAATAACTTGGACATCTGGAGAAGTTATTATTATAATTAATAATAAAAAAAATTTTTTTAAATAGTATTCTTCTATTTATAAAAAGATATGAATGGTTTTTATGATAGAATAAGGATAAGAAGGGATGCAAGAGAATAAAATAATAAAGAACCATTACAGAT